TTATTTTCGTTCAGTCCGGAGAAGGCAGTCTGATTTCGGTCAGCCGCGCTCAGTCTGCCCCTCCTCCGACACGGACAGACTGAGCGGGTCAGACTGAAATCTGACCGCCTTCTCTGGACTGAACGAAAATAACAGACCGCTGAAGCCCCGGAGCTCGAATGTCCAACGTAAAACTAACTTTACCGTGGTTTAATGTGGTGCTATGGCTCTCCAGCCATTGCATGTTGCTGTCTTGTTTTGTGGTGTTTCTAGTGTAAAATACTTCCACACAGTGGACATGTTTCGATAAAAGGTTGGTTAGCTGTTAGCCACAGTGCTACTGCACGTTTTAGCTGGCTGCAAACTATGAACTGGATTTCCTGAATGTGAGCCAGGTCTTATTACTCTGGGTTCATGAGACGCGCCTCCGTTCAGGAAATCCATTCCATACTTTGAAGTCAACGTGCAGCGCAAGCACAAACATGCATCATGGATCAGAAATATCGGCAGGTTGGATCGGAAAATCTGATACGTAAATTATGCTGATATCCGATACCGATACTGGATCAGATCGGCCCCATCCCTAGTGTCAACTACTACAATTCAATTCAATTCAGTTCAGTTTATTTATATAGCGCACATTAAACCTTAGCGCAATGTGTGTAAGTTTACCTGAGTCAATACCAGTTTTACGTTGGCTAACACTGATTTGCTGTGACAGTCATCTTGAATATGGGTGACTCCAAAAGTGAATCAGCTGTACAAGGAGGGCGCCTCGCCCTTTTAACAGGACCGAGCGCCCCGACTACCAAATCACACACCCCCACACGCAACTCCGCCACTTCCAGATGGGGAGCAGACTTTGTACCAGCTTAGCTTAAACTCCAAACCATGTGCAATACATCTGAAAAGTTTGGTACCAAAGAGCGGCAGCACGTCCGTTGTTGGGAATTATTTTGGCTATAAAAAAGAAGACGCTGCACAACAACATGTATTGTGCAGAAGCTGCCGTGCTGCTGTTGCTACATCTCGAGGTAACACCACAAATCTTTATCAACACTTAAAAAACCACCACAAAGACATTTACGATAGTTGCATGGCTAGAATGCCAACAAGCAATGCTTCAACTTCAAGTAAGCAAAGTAGCAGCTGACAGGGATCACTGACCGAACTGTTCAAAGGTATTACTCCGTATGAACATAATTCAAAATGGCATGTAGAAATAACTTGAGCAATAACGGAGTTCATAGCAAAAGACATGATGCCCATTAATATAGTGACCAGGCCTGAGTTTACAGATTTGGTGAACACAATGAATAAGCGGTACAGAACGTCCTCGCACACATTTCAGCCAAGTTGCTATCCCAGAGCTACACATAAAAAATGCAGAAACAGAGTTGCAGCGGAGCTGAAAACAATGGAGTTTTTTACAACTGAAACAGATTTATTTATTGTTTGTGTTTGTTGAAAAATACATGAGAAGAAGACTTTGTAAAATAATTGCATATTAAATCGCAATTGCAATACTGAGGTAAAAAAATTGCCATTAGAATATTTTCCAAAATCGTTCAGCCCTAGATTTCACACATACTTCCAGATGTGTGAAAACCAACGTTGCACAAAAGTGGTCTTAAATGTATGCACACTTTTGACCTGCAGTGAGAATGTGCATATTGCCACACAAACTTTTTAAGTTGACAGTATTAAACTAAAAAGTACTGAAACTCTCCTAAATACAGCAAAATATGACTTCAGTTTTCTGAACTTAAGTGAAGTGAAACACACACACACACACACTTTTTCATGAGTTTCAGCATTTGTGGCTTAAATTCAAACCATGAAAGTGAACCACATTGAATCTCACACAATGTATAACAGGCCTAAAATATTTATCAAGACAACTTCACTCCACTATAAACTACAAGTATTTCTATATTGTTGTCACATGTAAACACACATCAGCGACCGCAAGCTACGAAGCACACCGACAGCTGAGGCAGAAAAAATGCATGACTGGTCTGAGGGGAACTGCCGTTCTGACTGAGGAAAACTGTGTTGTCAGCAGTAACTCATGTTTGATGATTCCTCTGGCTTGTATGTTGCAGACAGTCTCACACACACACACACACACACACACACACACACACACACACACACAC